ATTTCTGACCTCTTCCCCCTTTCTCTCTCTCTCTCTCAGCTGTCAGCCCCATGACATCGGCCCGCTAAATGTCATACTTTGACACTTCACATCTGATCCAATGAACTCAAGGGAAGGACTACACCAGTTCATACAGTGATTAAAGGTAAACTTACAAGTAATATTCAAATGGAACCGACACAAGACGCCCCGCTGACCTCCACGCCAGTCCGCAACTCCTCCAAAGACTTCCTGTCCAACATCTCCAGAACAAAAGGAGTGGAGCCAGAAAGCAGCAAATTCACCAATCAGTTGGAGGTGTTTCATCATTTCTCTTTTGCTGATATTGTTTCTGCATTTTGAGCCAACACATTATTCAGGATCCACAGTTAATTTCAGTAATAATCTTAAACTTATTTTTGATATATTTTTTCTGTTGTAGACATCAGAGGTAGATTCATCATGCTGCCAATCAAAGTCTGTAAGAAAACGTGAGAGTGCTCCCGCTTCCCCGATAAGAAGACTTAGAAATAGGGTGGTGAGAGAGCAAATACAGACGCGCAGTCAAACCAGAAGAACTCCAGCCAAGCGCAAGCGAGGCAGGACGCGGAAGGTGCCGATGACTGAGAAAACCACATCTCAGTCATCGGAGCACTCCACGCCTGATGCTGCAGAGCAAGGTATTGTCCAGCAATATACCATTATTGATGATAACTGTGATATTTAAAAAAAGAAATACATATTGATACTATGTTAGTAATATACATCTTATAATATTGTATTAATAATCCACCTCTTTAATCATTTATGTTTAGTTCCATTTAAGCTTGATTTCTTCCTATAAATGCCAAAAATGCACCTTTTTTGTTTTTTAAAGAAAATTGTATTTGACTGAAATCCTTTATATTATTATTAATTTTATATTTTCGGTACATTTTGCAATTATATCGTTATCATTACTTATGTTGGCTAACATAACTATTTCTGTGCATCTCATGCATCCTCCTCACAATCCGAAACATGATAAAACATGCTGTTGTCTGTGAGTCTGCTGCTTGTAGTTTTGTAGAGCAGGTTTAAAATAACTCGGCTAAACTAAATAATCAGACCTAATTCTGTTATTTTGTTTTCCTTTCAACTACACACCCACTCCCCAAAAGAAGACTCTGTACTGTCTTCAGATCTGTCAATAGAGCTGAGTCACCATGAGGAACAGGTGCCATATTTGTTCTGCCAGGATGATAATCCTAGTGAGGAGGACGAGGAGCTACCCAGTTTTTTGATGCAGCAGGAGAAAAGTAAGAGAGACTGCGATGACTGAAAATATCCTCTCCAAGGACTGGATGTGGACTGGATAGTATGAACATACTGTTAACTTTATGTGAATTGTCTTTGTCTTGTAGATCCTCCAGCCATTACAGGAGGAGCCTTTGTGTGGTACAAATATAGAAGTTACCCATTCTGGCCTGCATCGGTGAGTGCAGAAACCTGTGTGGAACTGATGATGGATTTGTCATAAGCACATGTTTTTTGCATCCATACAGAAATTAGCTTTTTCTTTTTTACATTTGAGAACTTTACACTTTGCTTTTACCATTTTTGCTCAAAGAATGACTTAAACATTTGCTTGCTATTTTTTAAATGTTCTGTCGTACATTTCAGCTTAATTGAAAGCAATTGGTTGACTAATCACTTTAGCACTGTTAAACTAGTCACTGTGGTGTAGTAATTGGTTATAATTCTACATGTTCATTTCAGGTAGATGTGTTCACTGGGGAAAGTCAATTTGCATGGAAATGTTGGTGACTCAAAAAAAAGAACAGTTCTCAAATGTTTACAAATTAGAAAAGCCTTAATGTTTCACTTTTATTTTATTCAGTACAATTTTTTTCTTTGCAGGTAAAAAGTGTGAACCGTAAGCAGAAAAAAGCGAGCATCATATTCATTGATGACCCCTTGATTCACCAAAAGAAAGGGTAGGAAATTTAAAGGAATTTTTGATCACTTCTTTGTTGGATATCTGCTGTACTTTTACAATGTATAGGATTGTTATTACAGGTTGTAAGGACCATATATTATCTTCCAATTTTGATATTGGTGAGAACACCTGAAAGGAGCTGTGTTTTAAAATAAGTTAACGTTAATTAAAGTAATGTCGTAGGTCTTAAAAAGCCTCTTTTAGTCTGATGTAATGTTAACAAATAAAAAAACTCATGAGTTGGCTCACTTTAAAATCATCAGTAGTTGGTATTTTAGTTGAATTTTTTTGTTTTTTTTAAGGTTGGCTGTGGCTCTGAAAACCCTGAAACCTTTTGGCTGTGAAGAAGATCATGAGCTGGAGGTAAGATTTGCCCATGAAATATACACTCAGTATTTTTAAAATGCTGTTGTCCTGTAAATCAGTGGCATACCATAAATGTCTCTCAAATGTATTCTGTTATAGTGTAAAGCCAAAGAAAAGTATAATGCCGCAATTGAGTGGTCCTTGGATCTTATAACAGACTACAGAATAAAGATTGGTAAGTCCATTTAACTGTTGTGCAGAAAGAAACAACATTGTTTGGACACTATTGAATTGGTAGCAGTACTAATCATGTTTTGTCTTTGCAGGTTGTGGATCATTTTCTGGCTCCTTCCTCGAGTACTTTGCTCACGACATGAGTAGGTTTCGTTCCACCGCAGAATATTAGGCCACTGCAGAATGTTAAACATTGACAGAATTTGAAAACGTATATACACCTGCATCCTTTCTTGGTCCTGACCATGCTCTTCACTTTTCCAGGCTATCCATTGAGGAGAAAGTACCCGAAGGCAGCCTCAGAGAGACTTACCATCCCCAGTGAATCGGCGGATGTGATTGAGGCACCATTTCAGGATTACGGCTTCAGTGACCAGCATGAGGAGGTCAGCACGAGTTTAAAAAGGTTGCTGCCAGACCGGAGTCATGCCACCCACGACCGTGCTAACAAAAAGCTGGTACATTTCATCGTAAAGCAGCGCATGGTGGAAGGACGCCTTCTGGTATGATCAATGGAGCCTATTGCATTGCTGTTTAAGTTTTTGCTCTTTGCAAACACTTACTAATTTCTTGCTTACTGCTTTTTTATGTGAAAGTATTTATATATGAAAGAAATATGTGCAGATGCATTCTTCTGTCATTGCAATTTGTGCAAAAATGTTCTATGACATTAATTCATAGAACCCATTCCCTGGTATCCAAATATTCCTGCTTCTTCGCTTTTTTCTTACACATTATAGACACTATACAGCATTCTCAATGCAATTTCTTCAGGAATTGCGTTCTCTAGTTTCAGTTTAATTTCTTCAATTTTTCTTTAATTTATTTGACAGAGAATGCATGTGCAAACGTTGTCCTTGGTTACGCTTTAAAACTATGTCCCACCAATGTGTTAAAAGCGATACTTTTGCAATAGACATTTAACAATGGAGTCTCTGCTGTTGATGAGTGCAAGAGAAACATCCACTATGATATTTGAATGTTTTGAAACATTAATGGATTTAAGATCAACACTTTCTAAATGAGCACTGGTCCTTGATAATAATACATTTTATTTTAGGCGCCTTTCATGACACCCAAGGACACGTACAATTTGTTAAAAAAGAAAACGCTAATAGGCAACAGAACATGATAAAAACACAAACAGGAAATCTTGGAGGAGACAATCAAGTGGACACATAGAATGGGGAGCACTACAGTGAGTAGGTAGATTTGAACAGGTGGGTTTTTAATTGGGATTTGAATATGGTGATTGTGTCTGACTGCCAGATAGGGGGGGTCAGGTTATGTAGGGATTTGTAAGTGAGCAGTATCAACTCACCCTCCTGTGTCGCTCTACTTAGTCTGTGATCAGTGGGCAGCAGCCGTCCAGATGGCTTCGCTCCTTTCTGAGTGATCGGCGTAGGATGGTGAACGTATTCTTGGAAGATGACCAGCAGTTGGACCAGGTCTACAGGTACCTGAATGAACTCTACACAACAGCAGAGGCCATCGCCCCTTGTCTACATGGGATGGACATGCAGCTTGTCTCCTTTGTCCTGGATGTGCTTCTTCCTGAGGTGAGCTAAAGCTTCATCAGCGCTCATTTTGTGTTCTTCTATATTGTGTCATATGGTATATTTTTTTATATTGCAGTTCACAGTGGTATGTATGTGGTACATGTGTATTAAGATTATTGTTCTCCTGTGAAGGCCATCATTTATGCCATTGCTGGGGTGGACAATGTCCCAGTAAAAAAGGCAGAAGAAAAATACCTTAAAGGACGATGCATAAGTAAAAGGTAGAAGCCTAATGAGTTAAACCTTTAAAGAAAGACATTGTCACACCATATATTAAATATGATCAGTGAATGTTGTTTTCTTTCATTTCAGAGAAAGACAGGAGTTTGACCTAATGATTGAGCGACAGATGAGGAACAAATTCAAGTGTCAGAGCACTTCACCTGGTTTATTGGATGACCCCATCAGTTAGAAGGCTGATAAATGTGAAATAATTGTATTCTTCTTTTTTTTTCAAAAACTTTTTTTTATACAAGCAACGATGCATTACTTTGTGCCTTTTTTTTAAATCTGAAAGGATTTAATTAAATTCTCCTTTGCCTCTTTTTAAGATGCATCACTATAAATCATGGGTTATCACTGCAGATATAATGATAACAAATTATAGAGAATGTGATTGGTATACTTTTGGAATGAGGGCAATTATTCTCTTTGTACAGTGCCAAATCCTTTTTGTTTATACGTCCTTAAATGCTTATGTGCTATTCATTTGTTAAACATGAAATGCTATTACACACTAAAGACTTGCTTTATAAAACGCGGATCTTTTAACACAAGTTATCGCAATATGCATCAACAACAGCTCAACCACCACGGGGCCAACAATTGTAGCTCTTGTCTAGAAGGCCTAGAAGGTTGTAGCAATATCTATTGTCAATAACCTTGTTTCAGAAAAAATATATATATTGAGATCATGCTAATGCACTTGTCTCCCTCCCCAAAAATGTCCTACACAAATTAGGTTGATTCCTTTGCCAAAAAAGATACAAGAACAAACAAGGCGGAAGATTAATTATACTGATAACCTTATTTATAAATAGTATTGTTTTAGTTCATTATCACCATCTTTCACAATATTGTGGTGAAAGGCTAAAGTGTAAATCTTACACGGTCATCATATTCTGCAGTCTGAAACAGATGTCCTAACAACCACAAGAAGAAGCATTGTGCTAAGAGCAACCATTCATCTCAAGATAAAAACCATTGTGACATCAGCACATCTGTATATTATTTAGTCAACTTTAAGCCGTTTGAAAAAAATGTCATTATGTTTGTTTATTTATGATCTATTCAATAGTGGCACATTTCCACTTCCAATGGGACGTCAGGACTGTTGTGGGGGTTCTGTGTTATTTGAATACATCAATGGGTTTCTGGGGTGGGTGTGCAGCAGCGGTTGAAAGAAACGCTCGGCCTCCCTCAAACAACTGGGGAAAAAAACCAAATTAGTATCAGATCCAATAGTATGTACCTGCAATACCGGAGGCTGCAGTTTTAGGACCGCAGTCGTAGGACTCTAGTTTTTTTGGCAACATCGCCACCTAGAGAATTGGATGCCCGCAAAAGTACAACCATCGAGTATTGAGTCTACACAGCGAGTCTGTTTTAGACATTATAATGCTTGTTATTAACGATCTATGAATGCATGAAAATACTTGTTTCTTACAGAAATTAAAGAAATATGATGAAAATATGTTCTATGTGTTGTTATTGTTGAGCAAACACATAATAACATACATTGTATTGAATATATACATACACACAGTGGATATATAAAGTATTTCAGTGTGGAAGTAGGTGGTATGGTTATGGTATTTAGCAGACACTTTTATCCAAAGCGACATACAAAAACTTAAGCCACTAAAACAACCATAATTAATACTAGAATATCAATACAAACTTCAATTTATAGAACAACAATAGTGGTGATAACAACAATAATATGAGATTAGCCTACACTAGAACTGGGGTCGTTTGGCAATAATAAAATGCATCACACACGTGTCACAGATTAAAGCACATAATAATACTTGGGGTTAAAAACAGCAATGCATAGCACTATAGCCGAGACAAGGAATGGATTTATCTGATTAGTTTATATAATTATAGTTCCCTGTAGGCTATGGGCAAACCTTTTTCATTCGTATTCCTCGTTGGTGGGATGAACTACCTGTGCTGTCCGTTCAGCGACAGCCTTTGTATTTTCAAGAAGCTTTTAAAAACTCACCTTTTAGAACATCTTTCTAATTAGTTCATATATTTGAGTCTTACTCGTAAATGTAATCATATAGTTATTATTTTGTCATCACCACTATTGCTAGTCAGTTTAGCTATACAATTATATTTGTACTAAATAACAAACGTAATCAGCCACTTAAACTAAAGTGAATCGGATGGACGCACGAGAGGCACACAGTGACATGAGAATATTCGAATAAATAAGTAGCATATAGTGAGCATATAAGGCAAGGCAAGGCAAAGCAAGTTTATTTATTATAGCACCTTTCAACACAAGGCAATTCAAAGTGCTTTACAAAAATGAAAGATATTAAGAAAATGGCATTTAAAAACAGTCATTAGAAGCAAAGATAATCAAATAAACATTAAAAGAAAGATACATGGATAAAAGTTACAGTGCAGTGCAGTTATATGAATAGTTCAATTAAAAGCAGCGACAAAAAGAAAAGTCTTCAGCCTGGATTTAAAAATAGTCATATAAAATGAACTCTGTTTTAGAAGCTTTCTTAGAGATGTATTCACTCCAATCCGAATCCAAGCGTTGTTAAGTGGAGAAAAGCTTTTATTTATTCACTATTGTTCAAAGAAAGAAGGCATCATATACAGCACTTACATTGAACAATTTAGCTAGGGTCCTAGGAATGCGGTCCTGAAACTGCAGCCTCCGGTATTGCAGGAACATGCTACTCATCAGATTGGGAAATGGGTAAAGGGGTTATTATGTTTTAGTAAATCATTATGTCAGTCATAATCCAGGAGTTTCTGGTAATGCGACATTTTAGGTATCCTATTAAAACCATGGATGTTTAAGAAGATTAAAACCAGAGAAGGGAGATAGCACGCCCAACCGAGCAATTATTAGTGCTCGTCAAACCACTCCTGGGAAAGATGGTGTTTTTTACAAAATGTTGGAACACATGACAGATAACACTCTAGTCATTGTGTTAAGGTTGTTTAATAGGGTGTGGGATTCTGGCCAACTTCCTTCAGTGTGGAAACAAGCGATAATAGTGCCCATCCTAAAGCCAGGGAAAGACCCTTCAGATCCATCTAGCTACAGGCCTATTGCCCTGGCATCTCATTTATGCAAAATCATGGAAAGAATGGTTACAGAAAGGTTAACATATATCTTAGAAAGTAAAGCTCTGTTGTCCCCATATCAAAGTGGGTTCCGTAGGGGTCGGAATACAATGGATTCTATATTGTGCTTAGAATCAGACATCAGGAAAGCACAGACCAACAAGGAAGTAGTGATTGCAGTCTTCTTTGATATTGAAAAGGCTTATGACATGCTCTGGAAGGAAGGACTACTAATCAAGTTAAAATCATTGGGAATTGGTGGTAAAGCATATAATTGGGTTATGAATTTTTTACTGGACAGAAAAATACAAGTAAGAGTAGGTGCAGAATATTCAAGTGTTTATGCTGTGGAAAATGGTACTCCGCAAGGTAGTGTGTGTAGTCCGTTGCTGTTCAATATAATGATACATGACATTTTTAATCAAGTTAATCCAAGTATGGGAAAATCTTTGTATGCAGATGATGGGGCTTTGTGGGCAAAAGGCCGCAATGTAGCACATGTTGGAAAGAAAATACAAGCTGCAATAGTGGAAGTGGAGAAATGGACAAATAAATGGGGATTCAAACTGTCAGTAGCTAAGACGCAGGTCATTTGTTTTACAAAACGGCATAACATTGCTCCTATATCGTTAAAATTGTATGAGCAACCTCTTGAACAGGTTAATACAATAAGATTTCTTGGTGTTTGGTTTGACAGAAAGCTAACATGGAGCAATCATATAGGAAAAGTTCAAAATAAATGTAAAAAAGTCAACAATGTACTTCGGTGTTTGGCGGGACAGGAGTGGGGAGCAAGTAGGTCATCACTTCTGAATATATATTGGGCACTCATGAGACCTGTATTCGATTATGGGTGTATAGCGTTCATGGCAGCAGCAGAATCAAACCTTAAAAAACTGGATGTCCTACAAGCTCAGGCCCTGAGAATTTGTAGTGGAGCTTTTAAAACATCTCCAGTATCAGCAATACAGGTGGAAATGGGAGAAATGCCTTTAAGGATAAGAAGAGTGAAGTTAATGTTGGCATACTGGGTAAACCTTCAGGGGCACAGTGATAGTCATCCTGCGAAAAGTATTTTTGAAAGACTGCTGGGAGCACAATGAGTCACATTTAACAAGTTTTGGATGGATTGGCGATGTTAAAGCAGCAAGTATAGGTTTGAATCAAATACAGTATTGCCCCACAGTTCCAATCTCGTCCATTCCACCCTGGTTATTCCCATTGCCAAGTGTAGACCTCAATATACAAAGGGAGTTAAAGGAAAAGAAAGAACTACCAGTATGGCGCATAGTCCAGAATTATTTTGCAAGATATCACTCAGACTCAACAATCATATTTACAGATGGTTCCAAAGATCCAGAGACAGGGCGTGCAGGGGCAGCAGTTTACATCCCAGTGAGTAATACACATATCAAGAAAAGGGTAACAGACCATGTGTCAGTATACACCACAGAGTTCTTGGCATTGGTGTTGTCATTGGAATGGATAGAGGAGAAAGAAATACATAACAGTGTAATTGCATCTGACAGCTTTTCAGCATTATCGAGTATACGATCGGGTAGATCTTCATCTAGAATGGACATAATAAATGAAATATTTCTAATTGTATATAAAATGCAAATCAAAGGCATAGCAACTCGTTTCATCTTCCTGCTCATGTTGGTGTGGAGGGTAATGAACAGGTGGATATTCTGGCCAAACAAACACTCAGAAGTATGAACATAGACATAGAAGTTCCACTCAGTAAAGCGGAGGTTAAAACATTCATACAGAGATATGCACAAACAACATGGCAAGAACATTGGGACCTTAGTGATACAGGAAGACATCTTTATAAAATTCAAAGGTATGTGGGGGATGGAAGGAAGGTAGGGTTTAAAAGAAGGGAGGAAAATGTAATTTCTCGGATGAGAATAGGTCATACAGGTCTCAATCATACATTAAGTATAATAGGAAAGCATCCAACCGGAAAGTGTATACACTGTAGCCAGCCAGAAACTGTTGAGCATGTTTTACTGCTTTGCAGGAAATATAGTACTCAGAGAAATGCTGCTTTTCCAGACACTGAAGAAAGCAAAATTCCATGACTTCTCGCTATCAGGGCTGTTAGGGAAAACATCAGGCACATATGTATTGTGAGATTATTGCGGTATATAACTAAGAGAAATTGAAATAATTTAAAATAATCTAGAGTTTTGGTTCTTTATTTTATTTATTTTGTTTATTGTTTTCTGCATAGTCTCTTGTCCAATTGGTGGCGGTAATGCACCTACAAGTTGGTTTGCCAACCGCCAATAAACACTAAAGAAGAAGAAGAAGCACGCCCAACCGGAAGAGGGCAGCAGTAGTGTTCGCTGTGCCAGATTCAATGCCGGCGAAGAAGAAGGGCATGGAGCACTTTCCAATCGTGGAAATGGCGCTTTGAGTGGAAACCATAGGTGGAGACCAGAAGTCAGAGGGAGCATCTCGTACTTGGCAGTCTAGTGAAGGCCCCAAAGGGCTGTACGTATGTGTTGTACTTTGAAAAAAGGAGCGGAGTATGATACGGGAGAAAGGGAATCAGGAGATTCTTCAAGGAAATCTGAACATCCGTGGCAGACAGGTAACCTAAACGTGGGTAGCAGCTAGCGGGGCACATTGCATCACGTTTTAGCTAGCAGTACTAGCTCCATAAAGTCGTTAGGCTGCTTAAATTCCCCAAAACAAGAATTGCAGTTAGAGCTCAACTTCTGACTGAAGAAGTCTGGCTCTAACGCGATGTTGCCATTAGCTACACACTTACGTTGATCTAGTTTTGTATTGCTATTACGTTTGCAATGCTAAAGCTAAAGGAAGACCACTACATAAGTGTAACGTTACCTACCTTACTTTACTGGTTTAGGGAAAGACACTTACATTAGTCTGCTACAAGGAAGTTACGGTATGTAATGGGTCTAGTGAAATAATAACGTTTCTGGATGTCAGCCCTAAAATAGGTCACGGAATCTTTGCTATCATTAACGCGAACGGATCGCGTTAGCGAAAGCAGCAACGGACCCAGCTGGACTGGCTAGCCGCCTTGACTAAACTACCCTAGAGTTAAATGTTTATCGGCGTTAGTAAAGATGATTTGTTGGAGCACATGTCCAATAACTCATCAGCCGATGCAATGTGCACATAGCTCGTCAGTAAGACTAACTTGAGACGGTGAATTTAGATAAACTGTGATCCTGCGTGACCTTGCAAGCTAACTGGGTAGCCTGCTAATGTGCTGCATACATATTGTCATTACCTTCTTCAGCCCTACATTACATCCACACACACATATATATAGTGTATGTATTTTGTGTTTAACATCAATGTGTATTTTATTGTACAAAGAATGGGATAATGGGTTTGTTTACATTATGTCAAGCTAGTTTAAGGCTAACTGCAGTAGACCAAGCTAATCTGTATTTTTCAGATGCTAACGACAGAGCTAACGTCTAGATAGTTAACTGACGTTCAAACATCTTTATCGTCCATATATTGTCTGATACGTTTGCCGGTTGGATGAATACATTGATCTGGGTTGTAACACATTTGATGGATTGTCAAACGCGATAAATGACAAGTGAGATGTTGTATTTGCTTATATTTGGTTGTGAACACTCTATCGTCTGTAATAGTGTAGTGACACTTTTAAGTTCTTAAATTGTGCTTGTTTAAAGTTAATTCTTACATTATGTCAACATGTTTTATCACTTCATGGCATGTGGCTGCGTAGTGACAGGCATGTTGCGCGGGAGTTCCGTTGAATCAAATGTGTTTTGAATTCTGGTCACAGAGGGCAGTATTGTGTCCAATTGTGGACGCTGAAACTTAAGGGCAAATTCAGGTGAAGAATGCTTTGAAAACACAACTGCATTTACCAAACTGCTGGGGATAATATTATCTTGGTGGATGATTAGATAAATAACAAGGCAGAGGGATAGTATACACACACAGAGTTGAGTGAAAAATGGTTATAACATAAGAATAAATAGATATACATCTTGGCTAAAAATTATAATACAAACATCAGTGTTAAAAACATCACACATAAGCTATTAAAAAAACAACAACATTACAACCTGTTTCACAATAACACGGTTTTTTGTCAGATGTAGAGCAGCAGTGTGTTATCAATTTGTTTTGGTTGATCTGAGAACAGATCCAGTGGCACCAGTTGTTAACAAATTTGCTGACAACTGGGGGTGCAACTGTTGTTCGGAAGAAAGACTCCTTTGTGCTGTAAAACCCAGTTGAGCAGATAAAGCCTGAAATTAATTTAGGGAGTATAAAGGGCTCAGAGTGTTTTTATTTATATTTAGGCTTATACATGAAAATATCTAGGTTAGTGTGTTTTTGCGTAATTTTGTTTTTACCATCTAACTCTAGCAACAAGATTGCAAACTGCTGTTTCTAATATGCCATATATTGTGTTGTTTTTGTTTATGAAGTGAACCATGCATGACCTGACGGCCCAAGTCACCAGCAGCTTGCTGCCGTTTCCTGGAGTGACTATAGATGCTCTGGGAGAGGATGAGATCACCCTAGACTCTGTGTTACATGGGAAGTTCACTGTTGGTAAGCCTATTTTAGCTGATCAGTAATCTCTGTAAATGTTAATTGTATCTCCCGCTGATATTAATTAAACACTCTTTCCATCCTTCCGTTAAACAAAGATTTACATTTTTGGATGCTTACATTTGAGGTTTTATCCCCAAATACAGCTTGTAGAACTAGGAGCAGGTCAATTGTTAATTCAATCATGGGCTGTTTATTCTTGAACATGGAAGCTAACTTAGTGGTAATACTGGATCAGATTGCACTAACATTGCCCTTTTAATGTCTGTGTGTGCGAAGGCCGGAGCGGGCTTGCCTGGCTGGCCTGCGGCCCCCACCTGGAGGTGGTCCATTCAGTGACAGGAGAGCGACTGTCTGCGTACTGCTTCAGTGGTGGAGGAGAGCACCCCCCCACTGTCCTTGCTGCCAGGGACTTTAGCTGGCTAAAAAGGTCTGAGCTTTCTTCCACGACCTTTCTCTTTCTATCTATTTGATGTGGATTGTAGTCCAAACAAACTATAAAATAGTATTTAAACTTGTAATTTGTGATAGTCAACAAGTGTCAGAATTATGTGCTTCCACATTTTGTTACAAAAAAGATGTGTTCTTTTATATTTATATGCTAACTTTGCTAATGCTTTTTATTATTGTAATTTACTAGGTCTGGATTACTTGTCGGCTTGGAGGAAGCAGAGGGAAGTGTGCTGTGTCTTTATGATTTGGGACTATCAAGGGTGGTCAAAGCTGTTGTTATACCAGGCAGGGTGAGTGGGCAGTTCACCAGGGTCACCTCGACTCTGATCTGGTCGAGGTGGACTAAATCTTCTTAAACAATGATTTCAATGTACCGGTTTAGGGCAACATATATTCTTGCTACTGGTATTTAAGAGAAGGACATCCTATCTTATCCTATCCATCAGAACTTCAACACTTTCTTTCTGTTTTCTTTCCATCCTCTCTGCTGTAGATTACAGCTATTGAGCCGTTAGTGAGTTATGGTGGAGCAAGTGCTTCCACCCAGCATCTTCACCAAAGTCTGCGCTGGTTCTTTGGCATTGCCGCCGTAGTAACAGATCTCGGCCATGTTCTGCTGGTCGACCTCTGCCTGGACGACCTGTCCTGCAGCCAAAGTGAACTGGAGGCTTCAGGTGAGGAGCTTGTGTGATTGAACTCTTCTATTCTAAAATGGATATATAATGATGCGAGCCTATAGGCCTCTTGAGGGAGTAAAATAATTATTGTCTTGCTTTCTGGATTTCCTGCTACAAACTTGTTTCTCCACTTGAAACCATCTCTCTTTTTATATTTGCTCTGTTCACAGACCTGCAGGTAGTGACCAAATCTCCAGCCGAGATCCCCCGGCTGAGAGAAGTCGGCACCAGTCAGGGCAGACATCTTTGTCTCCAGCTGAATGGGCCCAGCAGTGTTGGAGCGACAGCTCTGCAGTACATCTCCAGGACCAACCAGCTGGCGGTGGGATTTTCAGATGGAAACTTACAGCTGTGGAACATGAAGACTCTAAAGAAGGAGTGAGTTTTTCTATTTCTGTTGACTTCCATATTCTGTGAAAGTGCGAAAAATGCCTGGGTTTCAGTTTATAGACAATTCTTTGTGAGGCCACATTGGATTATTACCGTATGTTCTGTAAAGACACAGCAGGTAAAAGGTATGATAAAACACAATCAAATAATTAGTGATCCCTCTCTGTAAAATAAAGGAAGAAAAAACGAATGAATACATTAAAATATAAAAACCTATTAAATAAAAAAAAATCCGTCCCACAAACTGTAGGTTTTTCATTACAAACATGTTTCATATCCCAAGATAGATGAATTGCATGTCTGTGGTTGCTTTTTTATTCATAAGCAGCTATGATTTACTTTCCATTTTAGGCTCAACGCTATGCATTTTTAATGAGAAAAATCACCATGTGTTCATAAAAGTTTGCTTCTATGTGTAGATACCACTCCCAGTTAGAAGGTGGCAGGGTGCCTGTTCATGCCTTCACCTTCCAGGAGCCAGAAAACGACCCCAGGAACTGTTGCTACCTCTGGGCTGTCCAGTCTTCTCAGGACCTGTAAGTCCTGCATTAAACCCATGTTTTCTATGTTATTTGTGTGAATTTAAAGAGATGAACTCATGGCATATTTTCCTTGAGATTCTGTAGGTTCTTATTTTCCCCTTGCCTATTTTTCTCTCACTCCCACACAGCGATGGAGATATGGTCAGCCTCCGCCTACTTCAGCTGGCTTTCAGTGAAAGGAAGTGTCTATCATCTGGGAAGATCCTCTATGAGGTTTGTAGTGCACACAGAATCACACCACTATTCTCTCTATTGACCTCAAATAGTGAAACCCTCACTCTACTCGTGATGTTTAAGTCCCAGCTGATTTACTATATATATTTACTTTTCTTGATTTACATTCTTCCCTTTTTAACTTGCTGTCTCTCAGGGTCTGGAGTACTGTGAGGAACGTTACAGTCAGGACTTAAATGGCCCAGCTTTCCCTCTCAGGGCCCAGGCCACCAACACCCGCCTGCTGAGCTGCCAGACCATCGAGAAGTTCCGACACCATCCTGACAGAGACGACAGCATGAACGAAGGTTAGCCCGCTTCCCCTGAAACTATCTGTGGAAGATATTAATTTCTATGGAACAACTTTGTGCAGCTTTTAAGTATTTCCAATCATATTTGAATATGCTGTGCTTTGACATTGACAGCGTTGCGGTATTAGAGAAATATAACCTTTGAAGAAAAGAAAAAAATCATCCTTTTTGTCTATCAAAATGAGATCGTTTAGGCCTGGGGTGCCCACACTTTTTCAGCTTGGGAGCTACTTTTAACGACTAAAAAAACAATTCCTTAAATAACATGAGCAGCTGTTGAAAGCTGCTTATAATATTAATGACAGTAATTCTATTTGGCCTACCTAAAATTGATATTGCAGTGGGAATTAAATTGTTTTAGCTTTAAGCCGCTGTGAAGGCCATAACAAAAAAAAGAAACATGACGATAAAGGTCCAAGAGTTGAGTTTGAATGGTGCCAGTCATTTTAGTTGCATGTTCTGTGCCTGATTCATGTGTTAAAACTAGGGCTGTCAGTCGATTCAAATATTTAATCGCATGATTGTCCATAGTTAATCGCACATTTTGTATCTGTTCTAAATGTACCTTAGAGTAATATTTTCAAGTTTGTAATACTCTTATCAACATATGAGTGGACAAATATGCTTTATGCAAATGTTTATTATCATTTGAACAATGACAAATATTTGTCATGAATATTAAACACAACAACCTCTGAACATTACAAATATTTGCCTCAATTCAACCAGGAACCTCTCTCTCTCTCTCTCTCTCTCTCTCTCTCTCTCTCTCTCTCTCTCTCGTGTGAGTGATGTGCAACTCAAGGCATATGCTCGAACGGGAGCTGCCTGGACGCTGCAATCATGTTGTGTGCTGACTTTTCGTATAATGTCCCACTGTCTGGCTGCCTGCATAAAGTCAAGTGCTCGGCGCAGCTGTGGGCGAAATGTCGCTCCTCTGTTTTCATTTAAACAGCTCCTTATATCCGTTAGCTAGCACCAGATGCTAACAACAACAACAATACGCGTAAGGTCTCTCTCTGTCTCTCTCGCTCGCTCGAGCCACACATACACACACCCTCCCGGCACCAGTCGGTGCCTGCCGGTGAGCGTGGAAGTGTGGTCT